AACTTTTCATTCCGAAGGAATTTTCGCTAGACTGGCACAAAATTTAATTAAAAATAGTCAAGCCGGTGGCTGAAAAAGTAGAACAGAATAATAAACTTTCTCATTTATAATATTATCGGTATCATTTGTTAAAACTTTTAACGGTTTAAAACGCGTGATTTATAAGAATCCACTAGTAGTAGCATTCAAAACGTCGGGCCTTAGCTAATATAAATTGTAAATAAGTTAATTAATACATTTCGTGTTTCAATCACCTGTTATTTAAATGTTTATAGTGGCGTAAACTACTTTCCTTTTAAACTAATTACTTATCTTTTGTATTGATTGGAGTATACTTCATTTGCTTGAGCGCTGTTTTTTTGTCTATAAATCTTTTTTTTACCACATAAAATAAATGGTAAAGCCCGGAATCCCAATACTCAATTCAGCATAATAAAAATTTAATGCCCGAAACGAGTCTGCCAAGATATAAAAAGCAGCCGTTTACGAAACAATTTCGATTATTGATGACATAGCCTAGATATTTCTGGTCGACTTTACTCCATTTGGCATCTAAAAGTACGCAACGTTACTGAGATAGGTAACAAGATCTTGTTTGCAAAAAAGTACTAAAAACACGTCATAAAACAGTTTATTAGTATATATTTGAATTAAACAGTCTTACCACAGTTTAAAACGCGAAATATAGTTAACTTATTACACTTTATTTTAACTAGGGCCCGATGTTTCGGAGGCTGCAACAGTGGTCATGGAGGGGAGTTAAAAGAAATTGTAAAAGTTATTGATACTTTACGTTATTTAAATACGTTTATTTAAATGTGTTTTACTCGTATAAACTATAGACAATACAATATTAGTCAACTTACTTTTCCCGGAGTTTCTATAGCAGAAATTAACGTCTTATTCGTGTAAATAACACTCGACACATAAAATAAAATTCGTTTCTTTCACAAAAAATGATTAAAATCATTTTAGGTTGGTAACAACTTGCTGTTAAAAGATCAAATGTCGTTGGTGATACAGTACTTTATAGGTAAGATCATCTTTGACATTTTTTTTTATATCCTTATGTAATAAAAACTTGACAAGTAATCTTAATATTAATTACGACAAAATCTTCGTAGGTTATAGATATACGTAAACTCTAATCAAGTGTATTCAAATCAAAATGTTAGTAACAAGCCACACACACCATGCTTTTTAAGAAATTAAGTCTTAAATACAGTCTGTAGTTGAATTCAAATTAAGTCATTATCGGCAACGCAATTAGCTGCAAAGAATAGCAACTTTAAACAAAATCCTCACCAAAAACTGTTCTAAAAAATTCAATAGGCTTTTATAGAAGCACGATTTATGAACACCCACACAATGTTTCATACTTGTTCAAAAGCACGCCTTCTTCGAACACTGTACGTCAAAGTGACCTTTGCAATAAATTACTTCACTACAGCCTACGGGCGAACGTGACTCCCTTTTTCATTTTCGCTTTCCACGAGTTTTCTTTATACTATTTTAAATTCTGAAATCTTTTAGTTTTCAATATACAAATATTTTATATGACGCGACACGAAGATAGGTATTTGCTTCACTTGATGGATGGTGAAATAGCTCAGCGATATAACATTTATACAAGATGTGCTGTCGGCCTTCTTTGAATTTTTACACTCATAAATTCCCAATAAAAACCGAAACGCAATAACACGTCACCGTTTTTTTATTTGTGCCCGGGGTCCGTGTTCTGAACGCAATTACAATATTCCTACCCCACATTCAATATCTACAGTGTCCAGGCGAAGTCTCAGATGTTTCAGAATCTGATGAAAGTCGAACCTAGTGCTGTTTAATATTAACTATACAATACCACCGTTAGATCAAACTCACCATCTTAAATGTTAAAAAAAAAATAACAAATCAAAAAAATCTCTTAAGAATAATTTGAAGACTACCTTCATAGCTCGAATTAGTATGCATTAAATGAGATAAGAGCCAGAGGTCTTAGCTTCGAATTCTACAGTAGTCGACGAAACGGATTATTATTTTCTATCGGCAACACCTGTGGTAGGCTGGGTCCACGCCATCCGACCATTTCACCCATAGCGACGAAACGGATACAGATATGAGTCCACCCCAATCAACATTAACGGATTTTTTAATCATCAATAATTTAATTAAGTAACTGCAATAATTCAATATGGGATTTATTTAACGAATTGTAGTGAAATCCCGTTTCCCCCTCGTGGGGCGAACACATTTTCGTATTCGTTTCACTGATTCGTTTTTTAACAGGCAAGTAGTTGATCAGACTTCTTTGCCCTGCCGACCGAAATATTTGGCTACAGAGGCAGTCTAACTTTGAATTATATATAGTAATTTTTGCCCTCTTGTATGTGTATTGTTTAACACGCAATTTTTTTATTGTTCATTCGTCTAGGAGAATATAGAAGAGAAATAATTAAATCGTCAATTGTTAAAAATAAAAACTCTGGACAGTTTCCATCTGTACATCAAAAAGGGAGGATGTTTACTTTATACTAAAAGCATTTCTGACAATTATTTTTTCGTTCTTTGATTAATGACATGCTGTGATACAAGTCATGAGAACGAAACAAGCCGTCCGTTAACGCTAAAATTTGCCACAGGCATTTCAAAATCAACGTAAAAATTTTGATACCATAGTATCCTTTAAAAAATCACAAAAAGAAATTACTACCTAAATCTATACTAAGATACAAAACTTATTACTTATTATTTAAAAAATTACATACACATAAAAATACTGTCTGTAGTTTACGCCAATAGTACATTTAAATAAAACACTTTAACTTATTAAGCTTATTGGAAAATTATTTTAACTAGGGCCGTTGTTTCGGATGCATCGGTCCACGCGACCACGGCTGCTGCACATAAATTATATACCGCGTTTCAAACCGTTAAAGTTTTTTATTTAAATATATTAATTACTTAATACACAGAGAGAAATACTATAAGAGAATCATTACGGAATATAACAATATCGTAGTGCTAAAATGGTAGAATAGGATCTTATCTCGTATTGACCAGAAACTGATTTTCAATTGGACGCGAATCTTTATTTTTCATGTTATGTTAAATCTATTTTGAGTTGATAAAAAATTGTAAGTCATATGGGTTTTAGACCTTGTATGCCTCTACCTTGTATGACTGCCCTGCTCGTTATCATCACACGAAACTCACGCGCAACGAAAATTCATCCTGAACTATACTTAAATATTGAGTTACGTATGTGTTTAGTTTATCTGTTTATAATATATAAACTGTTTTTATTTGCCAACAGTTATAGGGGTACAGCTAATTAGAAATATCATCAGATGTTTCATAATAGTAATTATTTATACAGTCATCTATCTAAATTTGTTATATAGATTTTTTATTTAAAGTCTGAAACAAGTGTAAAATTCAAGACTTGAAAGTAAACAAATCTAACAATAGGACTGTCTTTCCAAACAACCCTAATTACTGAACAAAAATAAATTGTAATTAATATTCAAAGATCGCTTTAACTTATAATTGGCACCATCGCTTTCTGATTGCTTGTAACACGAGATCAGCAATTTACTGTAGATTTTCTATTTATTTTTATTCCAATTCCTTTCCTTTGAAAATAACTTTACGGCAATTCGTTCCTCATTAATGACTCAATCAAAGTTTAATTAATGGAGAGTTTTATTTTAAAGATCATTAACAATAATATGTATCTATTATTTATTATATTATGTGTCAATATATATGCAAATCTTGAGATAAGCAAATATATATTGTTAAATCTAAACACTTTAACGGCTCTTTGGTGGTAGTCTCCCCGTGACCACGGCTGCTGCAAAGCATCCGAAACGTCGGGCCGAAGTTAAAAATAATTTTCAAATAAGTTTAACTAATACATATATCGCGTTTTAAACCGTTAGTGTTTTATTTAAATGTGTACTACTCGCGTAAACTATAGACGGTATTTACATACTGTTCGTCTTTATTTTATTCAAACCGTACTGTACTGTAGATACGTACCGTGCTGCACTTTACATATGAATATATCCATGTTTAGTTAGACAAAGGAAGTTTCCTTAATATAATGTAATACGTACATATTCGATCTTGTAACGAATCAATATTTTTTCTTTAGTGACTCAACAACAGAGCTACGTACATTGTTCATTAGTCACGCAAAAGCTACGAACAATGTCCTTTTCAGTTAAAATTAATTACAAGAACCCACAAAAAGGGTGGAATCTGTTTACTTTTTATGACCCAATTCATTCCCTTCGTAAACCTCCTTATTTCACAATTAGCTAAGGATTCTTTTCGTTAGACATCTGAAACGAATTTTTCCTTTTATCTGGATAAGGTAACATCAAAGAAACATTTAGTACATTTCTCTTTTGTAAAATTCGATTTTAAAATGTAAGTAGTAAGTCGCTATTCAATGAAAATAATAGTTTTAAAGCGTAAACGTCGTAATGTAACCATAAATCAAAATTTCATGTATCAATTAAAATAAATTAAATAATAGATGGGTTGTAAATAGTTACAAACGTTTATTTTTTGTGTAAATAGATAAAATTTCCTTCAAAGATTTAAAACAAATAAAACTGATTTGATAAACTCACGCATCACCGTTTGATAAAATGTTTTGTTATCCAAAAACTATTTCAACAATTCGACAATATCAGTCGGTGTTTAGCAGTAATTTATTTCAAGTTAAAACTTGATGAACGCCTAACATTAATTTACGAAAATGCTTCCCACGCAACGAGCTGTGAAACTCGAACTCTGACGAAATTGCTGACAAATGTAGGGGATTCTAAAAGCATTCATTAAACTTTTATCCATTCAATCTCAAAGTCAAGGAATTTTTCTAAAGCGTTATTTCTCTCCGCAGATGGCGAGCACTGGCTCTAACGAATAAAAGATTACATAAAGTGAACAGAAAAATCTTGCACTATTAACAACGAAATGTAACCAACAAAATGGCTCTAACAAAATATTTATCCATCAATATTATACTCTTAATACTTCATCTCAACATCTCATCTTCAGATGACAGCTATTTGAACGAAACGTTAATCAAAGATTTAGATAGCTTGATAAGTGAAAAGGTAATAAACACAGTAATAAATGACAGTTTTAAAATAAGAAAATTAGAAGATGTCAATTTCAGAAAACGACATGCAAATAGAACAGAATTCAGAGACACAGTTCCTAATGAGAGTACAGAAGATGAATCGAAAACGGGTACGTTTGAAAATACAACGATATATTACGAGCCTTCTAACTACACTGAAGAGCCGTGTGTTGGCGATCCGGAATTCTGTAATATGACTAGAGAAGCGTATTTTGAAATGCTAGAAGACTACATATACCCTCAGCCATACGAGTGGGTGTTAATAGCGACCCATGGTATAGTGTTTGTGATTGGACTGATTGGAAATGCATTAGTATGCATCGCGGTGTACAGGAACCATTCGATGAGGACAGTGACAAATTACTTTATTGTGAACCTCGCTGTGGCAGACTTTATGGTGATTCTTATCTGTCTCCCACCAACTGTGCTCTGGGATGTCACAGAGACTTGGTTCTTCGGGACAGCTATGTGCAGGATCGTCCTATATTTTCAAGTAAGTGTTTTTCTCATAACTTTAAAGTTTAATTATTACTTCTATGTATTTGTTTGAAGCATAGGTTTTACTTGATGGAAGGTAAAATAGCCCAGCCATAATACATCTCAACATGATGAGCAGCCGATCTTCGTTTTGGATATATCATTGTATAATTAGATAAATATACTTCTTGTGCTTTACAACACGAAATGTATTTCTTGTGTAATTTAAGCATAACTTTAAGCTTACTTATAAAACCATGTGCAAGAGTATTCAAATAGTTTAAAATTTCGGCAACTCACACGCAGTTATGTGACGGAACTTTCCGACGGTTCAAATGTTTCTCATTTCGAGTAACTCATATGAAAATTTATTCACCAATTTCAACACTAACTAAGTACAGTAACACTAAATACGCTGAGCGTTTACTAACTTTTGAGGATGTCGTTGCTCGTTTCCTCTACTGCGGATTGTGAGGTCCAGGATTCGAATCACGCTTGCAAAACGCTAGCTTGATCTTTCTAATAGAGTACCTTGTAGCCGTCGATCCAATTTATTATCGCTATGTATATCGGTATATAAATATTAAGTTGAAACGAACTTTAAGTTAAACAAATAAAAGTGTGACGTTTATACCTACGCTGGGCACAACGAAGCGATTTGTTAAAACTTCAGCAATTTGGCACTTATGAACTAAACTCTTAAAAGTTAACTCTCCCACAAACTCAATTTTACAAACGATGCTACCCGCTGACTTTCAAACTTTGAAAAGTAAACCAGGAACCAACAAATACTTTTAGGAAAGTATAAAAGACGTTTTTAAGTATTGTCTTAGTTTACGCAAGTGAAAAAAATGTTTAAAACGCAAACTTCATTCTTGCTTATCTACAATTAATTTTAACTAGGGCCGGACGTTTTGCATTCTATTGTTAGTACTAGTATTCAGTTATTTCCGCCAAATACGTACTGCGCAACAGATGGTGCGAGCATAACAGATTAGTCTTTGACATTAGGGAATCTCCATCGTCAGTCTCCCCGTGACCTTGACTTCTGCAAAGCATCCTAAACGACGGGCGGTATATTAAATACATAAATTGGTAAATGAGTCAACTAATACAATTCGTGTTTTAAACCGTTAAAAGTGTTTGAATTAAACGACATGTTTGACGTTATACGACTACTAGGTCCTAGTTAGCATTTGTGTACTAAGGCACTTTAGAAGTATATACATATAGTGGACAAGGCTTAAAATCTCGGAAAACTAATACGGAACGACGATCGAACTTATGTAACTAATACTTACGTATATATAAGATCCGGATGGAGTTTAAAATAACCGTTATCTTGCTAGCTCGAAGCAAGGTACGGACTTAAAAGTTTACTTCAAGTCCTGAAAAGCTTTTAGTTGGTAGTCGAGTTGAGTGTTTAAGTAAGTGGTCGATGATTACATAATCTTAAAGGCAATATACGGACATAATACGGACAATATGTATGACAGTTTAAAACGGACAAAATATTCAATAAACGGTTTAAAACGCGTCAACTGTGATAATAAATATAGAAACAGACTTGACAGACTGATTTTAAATCCCATAACACCTTTCTGCATTAGTATTTAAATTTTTAAAAAATTACGTCTGTTGTTTACGCGTGTAATTAAAATTTAAATTAACACTTTTAACAGTTTAAAACGTAAAATTCAACAGTTAACTCATTTGCAATAATAAATTACCTATTATAAAATATTATAAAACTAATTAACAAATTTTCATTAATAAATTTAAAAGTATTTTAATGAATAGTTGTTTGTCCAAACACAGAAGTCTGAACGTCTTGATAATGAAATCAACTAATGAAACAGACATAAAAAATATATGAGACAAACTCTTGATAAATGACACCTAACTGTGAAACATATTATCCGGAGATGTATTGATAATTTCCATTACGAAATAAATTTCATCATCTTTTTGCGTAAACCTGAGACCAATTTGTAACAAAACAAATTTTATTCACATACAGTGCTCTCGAAACTTTTTGGCCGGGCTGAAGGTCGCGCAGAACGTAAGAAGCAGGTGTAAGTTGCGACAAACAGGGTACGCGGGTGCGGGGTGACTTTTTGCTTAAGATTGACCATGCGCAAGATGACGGTCGCACTAACTTCAACCCGGCCAAAAAGTTTAAAGAGAACTGTACCTAATTTATCAGGCTGCTTCAGAGTCAATGATTAAATAGATTAATAATACGCTTTCTGTCCTATGAGGAATTTAAATATATTCTACTAGCTGACCTGGTAAATATTCTTTGACTATATGAAGTATTTCGACGAAATTTGATTCCCATAAGACAAGATCTTGTGAGTTAATCTTAATAGATAGACATATAATTCCGCGGACATTTTTTAGATCCATCAAAGTTAAAAAAAAAATATCGAACCAGTTGTTCCTGAAATTAGCGCATTTAAACAAACAAACCACCAAACTCTTAACACACAAAGTAAAGACAGCACTCAAACACGCGACCATCAGCATACCGTTTTATTGTTCTACCGAAGGAAAATACCTATTGTGTCATGTTTGGGATCTCCTTTTTTTACCTTTAATAAATGCATTTCCCATCCAATCTAACGACTTTCAACCTTAACTTTTACGACTTAAGGTTGAAAGTCTTATATTTTCTATCTTTAAGGAAGTCTTAAAATTTACTACATGTAAATAGCCACAAAAATAAGTTACGCTACACAAAAATATTTCAATTAACTGTTTTAATAAATGTTGCTTACCTCTGTAATCTGAGGTAAGCAACATTTATTAAAACATACGCCCACCTACAGTCACGGAGAGTTTTAAAAAGTCTTCCTTCAGTGCAAATAAATATCAGTTAGCAAGTTTGCAATGTAACGTAAAGTACCATGAATTGTTTCGCATAGAGTAACTTACTATAATTGCTCCAACAATTTACAACTGCAAAAATTGTTTACAAACTTACCACTTTATTCTCAATTAATAAGTATTTCGGTAACCCAAGGCAAACGGACGTAACGTTTTTACATATTATTGTATCAAGTAACCGAGTCTTATGTTAATTATTAATTAAATCTGTAACTAGACTAAATCTAATCTAATCACCAACCCCCGTTCTACACAATGGCCAACACGTATTAGCTAATACATTCGCCAATATCTTCGCCATCGTGTAGAGCCGCCATAAGTAATATGTATATTTCCTCCCGCGGGGCATAGAGCGATTACGTTTCTGTATCTTTCTTCTCGGTTTTATTTACAGGCAAGAAGTTGATCAGACATTTGTGCCCTGCCCACGTACACGTTTACATAAAACACTTCAACGCTTTAAAATGCAATATATATTATGAAAACTTAAGCATTAAAAGCTTATTGCATTATTACAAATTATTTCTACGAGTTATATGAACATATGAATCTTGCATACAACAAAACGTTTGTCCAATCAGGTAGATACATAAAAAAGCGATCGAAATCTATCTAGGTCTATATTATTATGTTTCTTAAAGGAAGTACTAGGCCCCTTCAAATTCCTATATGCTTTCGCAAAGCGACATTTTCTCAATAATATCGTCTTTCCATCTCGAGACATGTCGCTAATCGAAACTCTATCTGACTTATTTCCATCGTCTTATGAGTACAGTCGCGTGGAAAATTAAGAAACACCAATATTTTTCGCGTGCTGTCAGAATCGTGACGAAAATGTAACAAGTTGAGGAATTCTTTCAAAACACATCTTGTAGGCGTTGCACGTTCGTCGGAAGTATCCAAGAATAGAATTATAAATTATTTTCTTGTTTACTAAGCTTTACTTTGTTGGTTTTTGGAACCAACGCGAAATTGAGTTGCGATCCCTTTTGCCATCTCTCTTTAACTTAATAGTGAATTATTTACTTTATGGTCTTCAGGTTTATTTGTCGAAAGAAATGCAATTCCATAAAACGTAAAACACAATACACGTAAATGCTGGCTTGCTCCAAATTGACACTGAATACACTCGCCGTTAAATCTGTTCTAAATTAATACGATAGTGTAGATTTTTTATTTACCTCAACAACAATGTGTATCACTTTAAAAGTCTTAATTATCTGAACATTTAAAATGCACACTTTATATCCTTACAGAACACAAAGTATTACATACTGTCTGTAGTTCACGCGAGTAGTACACAATTAAATAAAACACTTTAACGGCTTAAACACGCTATATATTAGTAAAACGAATTTTCAAATAAGTTTAACCAATATCGCGTTTTAAACCGATTGTTCGAAATGTCGAACCTCAACGAACAATCTGTTCATTACGCTAAACTTTTGACCACGACTGTATCTTGTCCGAGATATAACTCAAACTTTGAGAAATACGTCAATAAAGCGAAGCATTGTCATGCTAAATGGAGATTGTCTTTATCGTTCTCGTACTTAAGTCGGTACTTCGTATTATTATACGGAAAGGAATTAAATTTAAGATTCGTATAATACGAAAGAAGAGGCCAGACGCGTATCCGGTTCACTTGATGAAATACCCCAGCCATATGACATCAATACGCTGTCGGCCTATTTTGGGTTTGGATATTCAAAAATCCACAGACTGAAAACGAAATGCGATTAAACATCACGGCTTTTTCTTCTGTGGTTGGTGGTTCGTGACTCGGACGGAATTACGATATTCCTACCACCCATTATGTAGGTTCCCAGGCAAACACCAAGCCCCAGTGAAGGTAAAACCATGAACCATTAATTATTAGCCATTTCCATCAATAAACCAACGAGGCCGTCGACGGTTTTTAAAAATCCTAATTCGCAAAAAATTAAATGTAAAAAAAAAAATGTATTATTTTTAACGTGGCTTATTCCAAATTCCGGTTTAGGCGGTATAAATACTGTGTAGTTTACGCAAGTAGTACACATTTACATAAAACACTTTAACGGTTTAAAACGCGATATATTAGTTAGACATATTTGAAAATTATTTTAACTAAGACCCATCGTTTCGGATGCTTCGCAGCAGACGTGGTCTCCGCGTGACCATGTTTAATTTATATATATCGCGTTTTAAACCGTTAATGTGTTTTATTTAAATAACTTTAAGTAATGAAAGAAAATTGTTTCAGTCCGTCTCAGTCACAGTGTCGGTTCTAACCCTGACGTTCATCTCAGTGGATCGCTGGTACGCCATCTGCTTTCCGCTCAAATTCAAGTCTACCACCAGCCGAGCGAAGACGGCCATCTTGATCATTTGGGTTCTCTCTTTACTATTTAGTAAGTAACACACTTTATGTATTTAGGAAATGATAACACTAGTCTAGACCTAATATGAGGCCGCTAGAGGCAGAGTAGCGTAACTGCACTTTTAGGACTTGACTTATTCATATTTTCATAGTTTATAATTGTAGAAGATAGTCTAGCTTATTGACCGAAAAATGTTAATATAATTCTTAAACAAATAATAGTACAAATTCATTTGCACTTGAGTTAATTGCGCATTTTATTTTCCTCCTATTCTGTTGACTATTCTGACTATTATGTTCTTTTTATTATTAGGCCACTCTGTCTCTAGCTGCCTCATATAACACTAAATACAGTTGTCTTTAAAATATTCTTAATAAGCCACAAAAATACGAAATTGAGCTCGATATTTCATAGAATTCTTTTGCTGCGGGTCGCCGTTTGACATATTGCGATTAACGGTCAAGCGGTGGCACTTTTTTTGAAGAATCGAATCTTTACCGACGCTCCCCCTGAGCTGTACAGTGGCGGGGGGAGGGGGTATCAACCAACTCAGCCACTGCCTGGTTAGATGCCCTTGACCCGCTGCGAACGGTCTAATACGCAAAACGTATTTGTTAACGTATTTACGGTTTTAATAAACGTCGCGGTGGCTTTGCAGTAGCCGGGTCGCGGAGAAGTGAGTTTTGGTTTTACTCTGTGGATATACGAATATCAACTAACGTGCGCTGTTGACACTTGTCCTCTATCTCAACTAGCATATAAAATCTTCAATAATGCTACGCCAATCTCCAGATGTTCCAGAATTTGTGGTGCTTCAAGTACGCCGGATGCAGCTCCGCTTCGACGCGCCATATTTCATGCAGTGTACACCGACGTGGTCAGACGAAAGTGACCTCAAATGGCACGTCATTAAGGCGCTTTTTCTTTACACGTGAGTAATAACTTTTCATATAAGTGCGTCTTGCGATTATCGCAACGTCACTCCAACATAAGCTTTGTTATCAATTTTATTTCATATTTACTGATAGCGGTATTAAGTTATAAATGCTTGACTAGAAAAGTGTGTTCATGACAACTAGTGTTAACTAAGCAAAATGTAAAATTCTATACGCTTATACGCATAACTCTATCGGCAATAGGAATGATTTTGACATTTATGTTTTTTTCTAAAGTGGATAATCTATTTTTATGTTTACATATCGTCAACAAGTAGGTAGTTTACGCGAGTGGTACACATTGAATAAAAAAAAATTAACGGTGTAAATGCAAAGGTTGTTTGTATTTTGGTTGATCGAGCCCTCCGTGACCTAAATATTTCACATTTTCAACTGTTAAAAGTGTTTTATTTAATTGTAGTGAACGAAACAGAATCAAAGCTTGTGTAAATTTGATATAATTGTATGATAAATGTCCTTCTTGATCTAAATCACTAAAAATGTTCATAAATACTGTTAATGTGTTAAAATTTTTCTATTCGTAAGAGTTACCACTAAATTACTACAATAATACATGTTACTATTAGCTAAGGCTTTTGTAAAATATTGTTTTTCAATTCCGTTTTCTTTTATTTTCTATAAGAATAACTAGCTCCACATGAATACTCCAAAGTAAAAAAGTTAAGTTTCGAAAACTTAAATTTCATATGAATAATTAGCCGTGAAGTAGTTGGAACATGGGACTTATCGAACTTTAACTTCTAAAACTTCTAGAGGCACCAATATTAAACTTAACTTATTCCTAGTTTAAACTTAATTCATTAAACAAAAACAAGTAACGGTCGAGGATATTTTTTCACGAACATACATAGTTAAGAAGTTATCTATTTTAACCGGAAAATTGAGTTTTATTTCCGGGAAAAACACAATGATTAGTTTTTATCGATCAGTCACTAAAACAGTCACGGTTTGTCCCACAAAATAAATGTGAAATTTTAAACTGTAGTGTTTTGTATCTTCTAACTTTTTGAATATTTTTATTATTTATACAGATTCCCGCTTTTTCTGATGATGATCGCGTACTGCCAGATTGTGAGGGTCCTCTGGAGGTCAGACAATATACCTGGACATACAGAATCACACAAACTCTGTCCTGGAAGCCAGAATAATTGTAAGTATCTAATATTTTAAAGTGAAAGTACTGTTTCCCCTCCTCCGTTTCACTGATCCGTTCTTTAACAGACATGTAGTTGATCAGACTTCTGTGCTCTGCCCGATCGAGACATTTTTTTGTTTCTCTGGGATTCGAATCCAGGACCTCTCGCGCTTAACACATTGCGATACAATACGTTTAACCATTTGGCTACAGAGGCGGTCACCTACCTACTATCTAATACTTTTGCGTAAATGAATTTCGCCAAATAATTACATTTATGTCATAAACTTTACCCTTTGATAAATAATTTCTCCCTCAAAATACGGAATTATAATTCCTAAATCAAAATCGTAACCATTGAGGAATTTTCTTTTTAAATACGGGTTTTGTTTTCCCCAAACGGAAAACTCGAAGCGTTGATTGGATTTACATTTAACTAGTCTAACTTTTTCTATTTACAATATACAGTCGAATTTCGAAATAAAACTTTGTTTCCAAGATAATCCTTTGAAAAATTGTCATCACTTCGACGCTTGTACACAGTTAAGGGGTTAAAAATGTAAGCCTACAAAACCCACAATAAAAATGTCTATTGTAATATCGAACAAACAAAAATAGTAGTTACGTTTGTACTATTACATTTTATTTCTATTTTAAGTATTAAACAAATAAGAAATATTACACACATACACAATTATTATGAAATTTTTCACTTAAAGGCATTTTTTAATTTCACGCGTATTTCTTTGTGGCGATACTTTTATTCCAATTTCAATAGTGTAGTTTAATCTTCTTTTTGGCGTAGCTTTAAAACGGTCTTTGATGTTCAAATTCGTCAGCATCCGGGCGCTCTCCCCTGCCCTCATCAAAGTACTTTTTAAATTGTAGTTCTGACACCGCTATCTGTGAAGAGAGCTAAAATAATTTTAAATAAAAAACTTTAACGGTTTAAAACGCGGTACATATTAGGTAAACTTGTTTGATAATTATTTTAACTACAACCCGACGTTTCGGACGGGGAGAATAAAGATGGAGGGTGTCTATGACGTAAAAGTAAAAAAAACTGTCGTTTTTTTTACTTTTACGTCGTACGTACGTACGTATTTGGTAAGTCACAGACGGCAACCGAAACGCGATTAAACTTCACGGCTATATAACACAATACTGTATGACGGTCGGTAGTTTGAGACCATCCATTTAATATACAGATTGCCAGATGAAGTCCAATATGTTTAAGAAAAAATATTAAATGATTAGCTGACGTAAGACCCAGTGGGGGTCGAAACCGCGAACTGTGATTATTAGTCGTACATTGCTACCATTACCGAGCGTGTCACTAACTGAACTAAAACTAAATTTCCTCTCTAACAACCTTATAACTAAAATGAGCCCTTATGAAATTAAATTAATTACGACCAAGCACGACCACTCTCGTCTTATTAATAATTACGGGCTTGAATAACATTACCAAATCATTCCAATTCCCAAAAGGAAAGGTATTTCTGAAAGGCTTTATTGAGAAAATCACGATGTTTCTAAAGGGTGCGGTAATATTGTATCAATATAGTTCTGTTGATATTACTTATTGATGGCGCTCCTAAAATATCGTTAGGGGAGAATTAAATAGTATGTATTATTGTTTTATTAAATATCTGCGCAATATATTATTTATATTAGGTATAACTCGTTTATATCTTTTGTTTTCCATTAGTTTAAAAACTTAAATTAAATATGATTGAAGTAACAATATACAAAGCTAGAAAAGACAATCACAAGTTGTCATAAAGCGGAAGAGTTTGGTTGTTAACGGTTTAATCCCAGTAAGTACTGGTTTGAATTGAAGAAAATGTTTTGTTCTTGGTTAGACCATTTATCGAAATATGCTATAGAACAGCACGCTGCAACAAAACAACGAGAAATTTGGAAAAAACGCGGCAAAATTATTCATCTCTGTGGGCTTCGATCGATTTGCGTAAACTGTTTAAAATACCCAAAGAATATGTATAAAAATCAATGACTCTCCTTTAATGATAAAAAAAATGCCTGTGATGCGGTCGAGGTCGTGGGTAACAGCTTAAATTTATAGAAATAGAAGAAGAAGAATAGTATATATAGTACAGCTTAAATATATAGAAATAGAAGAATAGTTTTCAGAAACAAATTTTAATGCCTACGCTAACATAGCTAGCTAACATATTTAGTTATGTTAGCTAGCTATGTTAGCTATATATAGTTATTAAAATAATGATAAATGTCCATAGACAATATTAGATGTGAAATACAATTTGTTATCTCAAGATTTCTCAAGCTTTTTAGCTATAATATTAATGATTATACAGGGCTAGCTGCAAACAGACGGACAACACCTTCGATCCACACAAATGCGTCCACTGAAGGCCAGCTGCGGTCAAGACGGAAGGCAGCAAAAATGTTGGTGGCTGTCGTCATCATGTTTGCTGTTTGCTACTTCCCCGTGCATTTAATATCCGTTCTGAGGTAACTGACATACATACAAACAAAACTATAGTAAATACATAATTTAAATTTAGTACTAATGTAATTATATATTTAATTTAAATAGTGACAAAATGTTCAAAGTTTAATTTCATACATTGAACATTTTAACGGTTTTAAATGCGAACGATATAGGTTTTAATGTATACTATAGTACTTAACATCAGTTTTTACTATGAATGACGACTTTGTTAGCAGTGATTTTCCAAAAATGGCTTTTTAAATAATCTTATATAGTGTATCTGCTTCAAATGTTATAAGCATACAAGTTGTCACGTTGGTATTGTGGTTAATGCAGCTCACAAGGTCCTGGATTAGATTCCTCGGTGGGGTAAATATTACGTTAGTAAATGGATTTTCTTAGAAAATTAATAATGTTAGCCCGGAGTTCAGAAATAGTAACGTCATCACGGCAATTGTCGAATCTAAACTATTTAAACCCTCTTTTATGCGAAACTAGACCTGAGTCCACTGGGACAATAATAGAAAACATACATAAAAACCGCCTAGATGACAAAATCGGGCACAGATAATTACATTTGCCTGCGTCAAACACACGTAGTGAATACAGACGAGGTTTAATGAATGCTATTCTCTGCAGAATCTGTTTTTGCATTACAAAAGCGTCTAAAAACCACTAAACATTCTCTTTGAAACAATGTTTTATTATACAATTTGTTAAATATTGTCTGCATTATTCGCATTTATTTATTATGACAGGGGACTGACAAGCAAGAGGTTTACTAGATGCAAGGTAATATACCCCAGTTATATAAGATCTAATCAAGATGTGATGTCGACTTATTATGGCTTCAGACATTAAATCCAAAGCCAAACTATGAATTTACACTTCAAGACATACTGTCTATAGTTTAGGCGAGTAGTACACATTTAAATAAAACACTTTAACGGTTTAAAATGCGATATATTAGTTAAACTCACGGCAGTCTTCCCGTGACCACGGCTGCTGCAAAGCATCCGAAACATCGGGCCGAAGTTAAAAATCATTTTCAAATAAGTTTAACTAACATATCGCGTTTTAAACCGTTAAAGTGTTTAAATTTAAACTTCAAGATATTTTCATCTGTGGCCTATGATTCGGATATATTGAATGTACAATTTTCCCAAAGTCTAAAATGTAAACAACTTTTAGAATGCACTGTATTACGCGGTGGGAGTCGAACCCACGGCTTGTAGATTATTAGCCATATATGGACAATGGACCATCGGGGTTATCAAAAAATAATTTGCTTACTATGAAACAACAAACTATTAAATAGGTACTATTAAGACGGAAACACAGTGTTAAATTCGAGAATATTTATTTATTAGCCAAAATGAGGCTTAGCCGACAAAATGCGCGCCATCGTTCGTATTTGAGGGTAGTGTGGGCGCGCGCGCGTTAATCGCGTCGGACTAGTGTTGTGCCGTTCTCGCTAAGTCGGGGAATTATTCATATCAGTACTTATGATTTGTTATTGTAAGTAATTTCTCAATTTCTACAACTAAGTCATAACTCCATAATAACAAAATTATTAACAAATATTAGAAGTTAGAATGTAATGGTTCCCGATTCCTTTTCCTATAGGAAACGGTCACTTTAAAGTACTCTTTGTCTTATAGCAAACACTGTAGCTTATTGTTTATTGCATTGATCTAACAAGGGAGTTTTGAAAGCTAACCCTCGGCTAACAAACAATATATGTATTATGCAGATAAGTCAAACTTTCGATGAATACGAGAACTGACGCTATTTAAACTCGAGCGCAGTTTGTGTACAATCAGTTATGGGGCCCCTACGACTCGGCATTTTTCAAACGCGTAGTAGACGCGCGTTTCAGAAACACGCGTCTTCGCTGTAGACGCCCATTGTTGCAATCTAATAGATTCATTTCTTTTAAGAAGTACTAAAGCCAACATTAGCAGTTTTATTCTAACCGTCGCCATTACTAACTAACTAACGGACAGTACAGACCTTTCTTTTTTATAATAATTCTTTATAAATAATGGTTCCCTTAAGATATATTAGATTATACGATATATCCTAGCCATATAACATTAAAACTAGATGCAGTCGACTTATTTTGGCTTTGGATATTCAGAAATCCACAGACTGAAACCAAAAAGCGATTAAACTTAAATTTTCATCTGTGGACGGCAGTTCGTCGTGACCCGAACGGAATTTTGACATTCCTAACATTCATTGAATAATCAGACGACCGTTCCAGACGAAGTCCGAGAGAAGTTCCGAAGAAAGATGTTCTTTCATTAAAATATTCAATTGAATAGAAAGATATTGGACAAGGTGGGGATCAAATCCAAGACCCAGTAATTATAAGCCATATATTAGCAATACATCACTACAATTACATCAACGTGCCCGTCGATATTACTTTTATCGATACGAGAACTGTTTGTGACATTGAGTTTATCTTATAGTGTAATTTTGAACTAGCTTACAAATAATCGGCTTTATCGCGAAACAGTGACATCTTCCAGGCAAGGGAAGGGAAAAACACAAGAGGACTATGTGTGGGTGGCGCTAGATGACGTTAAGCATTTTCGCGCGGCGAACAATCGATAGTGTGTGTCTAGCTTTAGGCGTTGATCGTCGAGTTTGCGTTTCAAATTGCTTATTTTCACAGGGTGGCATACGACGTGCAACAAAGTGACATTATGACTTGCATCGCCCTCATCTCTCACGTTATGTGCTACGCTAACTCCGCTGTCAACCCGCTTATATACAACTTTATGAGTGGTGAGTAACGATACGCATTCATTTATACGTACATCGGAATGCTATTGTGGGAACTGTTAGACTGTTAAAACAATGGAATAACGAAATAATTGGTTCGGAAACACGTCTATATGAAATGGAAAAGTGGTACATCTTCAAAATTAATATAAACTTTTAGGTAAACCGTTATTCTATTACACACTTTTCTTATTTCCTGTTGAAATTGTGTCTTAGAAGACAAATGAAATTCGACATGTTGACAGTTCCCAAAATAACAATTTGATGATAAAGTAAATTAATGATAAAACGATATTATATACACACTTGAAAACATACATATAGTAATCTAAGACCCTCTTTTCTGTAGATTATAGCTTAGAATTGAAATTTGTTTAAGTATATAGACTCAAACGATATACAGCTTACAGCTAAGTGTCACTAACAAATTTAATGATTCATATATTTTAAAAAACAACCTACACTAATACACTAATAGTACGTTTACAGGGGAAAATGGGGCATAACGGAGTCACTATAGAAACTAAACCTTATAAATAGTAGTAAACATTTGTACATGAAAAGTAATGACAATTCTTTTGTTATTTATTTAATCAGCGCTTAGCCATTTATTTATGAAAACAAAGCATCCGTATTTTTATGTTTGTGGAGGACCTTTTGTGTCTCGTGACCTTATTATACCCTTCCCCTTATTTGGTTTAACACAGTACCTCTTTTTTCTTATGATAAAACGTACACACATAAGCACACAAACCATTCCAGATATAAATTATAGAAGGAGATTAACTTTTATATTTTTCTATAAATCAGTTTTATTAAAGAATTTCATAGCCAAAGCGATTTATCGTACAGTCCATTGTGCAACATACACGAACTATCGAAATGCTTCATCATGCAAACATTACAAAATAAAATCGACATTATAATATGTCGTGAATATGAAAAAATAATCTGACGAATCAATTAGTATAATTGCGCATGATTCGTTTGTTTCGCGAATTTGGTTTGAAGGCAAATGAGATGAGATCGGATTAATTATTAAAATAAATAAATTTGTCAACAATGTAGTTGGTAGTGTAATTTAAGTAAAACACTTTAACGGTTTAAAATGCGAAATATATATAAACTTATCTGCAAATCACTTTAACTATGACTCGACGTTTCGGAAGCTTTGCAGTAGTTGTGGTCAAGGAGAGACTAAAGATGAAGGGTGTCTGTCTCTAATGTCAAATAAAAACTGCTACGCTAGCGCCATCTGTTCCGTCATAATTCGTATTTGGAGTTTAACTAATATATTTCGCGTTATAACGTATGTGTTTTATTAAAATGTCTACTACGCGCCTTACAACAGGTAGTATTTGGTAGTGTAATTTCAAAATTTGTAGCTCAGTATAACATGAAATTTGTAACGGAGACAAAAGAAGAGAAAATATATATCATAAAAAATATGAATGTGGTACAGTAGAAGCTTATAGATCAATTTGATGATAACATTATGCATAAACTTGATATAGGAGGTTAAATACACAAGATCCACATAGTTATTGATTAGGATATATCTCTCTCCTTTAAAGCAGTACTCCGATCGTTATTTACAAGAATTAATTGAAATCTATTAAGATCTTGGTTTAGGATTGGTTATTAATTTCGGGAACATCAAAAGATCCTTTTAGAGATGGGTAAATCAATAAAATTTCTTGTGTTGACGCAGCAATTTGAGCACAGTTAATTGCGTCGCTTGTTGGGCCATAATTGCGTTTTATCGCATTAAAATTGAACAAAAATACTAAGAGTTGACCGGTCAAAGGTAACTTTGTCAAAAGTTAACAATGGAAGAAGATAACAATGCAAAATTTAATATATAGACTTATATAAACAATATGCAAAATAAACAAAGTCAAAAATGGTCCTTATATTATGCATCAACCCCCTATGTATTCGTCCTCTTTTTCCATAAAAGAACTTACACAGTTTTAAACATGGTATAACATAAAAAAGTAAGGCGAAGGAATATTTTTTACACTAGAAATTTTAATTAAGATGACTAGTTCAGACTGAGTTTAAATACTGTATATATTTAAGTAAAACGCTTTAACGGTTTTGAACGCGAAATAAAATAGTTAAACTTATTTGCAGTCAAACTTAAAATAAGTTTAACAAATATAGTATATATCGCGTTTTAAACAGGAAAAGTGTTTTATTTGAATTCTAGGTTTAATTCAACAAAAACTTAACTGGTCAGGTAGCACACTTAAATATATTTACTTACTTGCGTATAGATAAAATCGCAAAACGACAAAGAAACATTGTTTGGACGACAATTAGAAGAAACGTAATTTCACATTATTTTTATTTACAAATTAAGTTACAAACCACACAATAGAGAACATATTGCAGATAAATTCATTTTGAGGGGAAGTATTTGGGTCTAATCAATACTAAATTAATTTACTTTAGTGTTGCATTGTGTTGTCGTATAGAATTTTTCGCCTTCTATCACTTTCTTACACATTGTATAAGTTTGAAGAACAATAGCTTATACAAAGACGCCAAAACAAAGACACAAAGGAAAGCAAAGATATGGGACAGAATATTGCCTTCTGATTACTTGTTTTTTAGGCCATAGCTGCGCTTATAATAATTCATATTTATTTCTATAAAATATTATTACTTAACATATCTTAATTGAACAACCTAAGTCTAATTTAAGTACAACGAGAACTCAAATAAATTATAGAAGGTTTTACTAATGACAGAAGAACAGACAAGCATGGGACTCCCCGTGACCACGGCTGCTGCAAAGCATCCGAAACGTCGGGCCGAAGTTAAAAATCATTTTCAAATAAGTTTAACTAATATATCGCGTTTTAAACCGTTAAAGTGTTTTATTTAAAAGCATGGGATTCACGTAACGTAATATTAAATATCCCAGCAAAGAAGATGCGCTGTCAGCCTATTTTGATTTTGGACATTCCCAAATCCACGGACTGAAATCAAAAAGCGATTTTCTCCACCCCTGGTTTCACGCTGGTTCGTAACCCGGACGAGCATTCGATATTCCTACTAAGTTGAACATGTTTCAGAAACATCATAAATTAATCTCAGTAACATGTAAGACCAGATACGAATTGAACTCACGACCCGAGCCGACGACGAGACACAGGCGGGATTCGAACGTACATCATTTCGTGTAATAAATGTCTACGTCAAGTATCTCTATTCCTTTTTTGCCCGCATTATGTCATAATTCACGACAACAACAAACACGCCACGGTTTGCTATTGATTGTGGATTCTAGTCCCACCTATGTTATTTTTTGTTTTAATCTAATTTTTTTTTACCTAAGGCCAATTATAATTGTATATTTACTTTATTAATTAAGTAGATTTGTGATACGAATGATGAGGTGGAAGTGGTTAGCCTAAACTCGTTTGCATAATAAAAATGAAACGACCAAGCACGTGTCTGTTGCATAATCAAAGTCATGGGGGTGCGATACTGACCCTCGCTTTTAATTACTAATTTAATTAATACGGAGTCGCAAACGATTAACGAATAAATAATTCATATATTTCCACTTTTTGTTTTCCTTTTTTTCTGAGCACAGTTGTACTTCAGAAGAACTAGTTTAAACCAAGTATAAATGAAGTAATATCTCTGTAGAAAGTTCATGAAGTTTTCAATAAAAAATGGTAATTTCTTTTCTCGAGAGAGCCTTGTTACTTCTTGGAGATAATTTGTGCTACCTGAATGGTTTAAATAGATAGATAACTTTTATAAGCATTTAAATATTCATCATTGCAAAGATAAGATCAATTATCATTGTCTTTCGGGCTGTTCGGCCGACGTGAGCGAGAAGAGGTTCTCGACGTTTCGCACGTGTGGACGGCATCATCAGGAGATGTTAACTCCTCGATTGCTCGAAGTATAAATTCTTCGAATGCTGAACGATGGCCGTGAAAGCCTTACACAATTTATATTGTATAGAATTTGACTAACCATTAATAAGAACAACAGCACAGACACAACTTTACAACAAAATTGTTCACATAACACAACCCAAAAGTCCTTAATGATATAACAACAATATACATAAATCCACAAATAAATATCTTGAAACTACATATTATAACACTAACAGTAAATACGAAGTTAAAGTAAATTTTATATGAAATTAATTCTCTTCGCACGGGAGCTTGAAGATATATATTCACTGTGTAAAATTTGTAACATTTATATCATACAGGAACAAATCTATTAACATCACAATCATTTAAACCATTATATACATACTCTTTAATAATTCTCAGTTAACCTTATACTAACGTTACCCATGACTTGTTTCTTCGCTCTAAAATACGTCATAGAAATATTTTGCTTGCAGGTTTCCCAGGCTTTTCAGGTTAGTACATGCCCATCACTGGTTAAAAAAATTACTCTCCGTTTTCGGGAACTGCATGTCTTTAATTATCTTTGTGTCTTCATTAATTTTGGCTCTCTGCATGTCACATTCGCTTTGCAAATTGACTGAGAGATTTAAAATACGTTTTCTAGAAACATCCATAAAATGTATAGTTGAGAGTTGACCACAGACTTCTAGCTGCATAATATTTTCTTTGACACTGTATATGTAAATTGAATCTCAAAGTCATTAACACAAGTTATCCACGATTTGTTGCACGCAGTTCCCAATATCCACAATCCACTCGTACCCACACCTTCCAATTCTTCCCTGCATCAGCTCTATCTAACAATCCACTATTGTTCCAGGGAAATTCCGTCGCGAATTCCACCGCTCCTACTTCAAATGTTTATGCTGTTGCCACCCTCCACCTGAACAGAACGGAACCTCCTTCGCTCCGATCGGCAGTTCCAGGGCCGGCACTACGAGAACAGTCGTCAGGCGGAACGACTCGTGTGCCAGCTACCGTCTTACACACCTCTCACCATCCAACCATAACATCCACCGCGATGTACGGAACACCAATACCTCATTCATAGAAACTATGAATGGGAACAGACGGCTCAAGGTCCGCGATGATTCGATCAGTGAATCGGCCAGGTTTACTCTAACGACCGACGTCAGAGATTGACAATTAGGTTACAGAGACTTCTACGCCAGACGAACGAAAAGCGATGGGTTGAGGGCACAATGCGATTGCTTCAAGGACATGGGGCCCAGGAGTCAGGTCGATGTGGATGAGAGGTATAGTGACACTTATACCGATTATCGAGGAGGTGAGATAACTGAAATTGAAGACGGGTATAAATTTAAGTTTAATCGCAGTTTGAATAACAGAAATAGAAAATTAAATAATTTATTTTAAGTTAAGTTTGCGCGATACATGAAACGGGTGGATATGCGAATTATATTACTATTAAATGCTTAGCTTTATATAAAATCCCATTATTTTGTTTCCTATAAATTTATGTGACTTATATACTACAGACAAAATTTAGTTTTTTCTCAGGTTAAGTTAATAGTGTTGTAATTTTAAAATTAAAACGATAAAAATAGGTTTCATTTTCGTCCGTTTTAATGTTGTAAATAATCCTTAACATCAACTTGTAAATAATAAGATCATCTAAGCATCGTAATGGGTCTTAAATTAAGATGTACATAAATTAATTTAGAAGGTGGTTAAATAAGTCTCATATAATTATATGTTAGAATTTATTTTACGTTAATCATATTTTTAATATTATAAGCGTACTTTGAAATATTTTAGTATGTATCTTAGCTCAAATGCAAACCCAAAAATATATTTACCGTAATTGATAAACCAACTCGAAGAAGTGGTCAAATTAAGTTTTATAAATTAAACTAAATACTTTGAAATGAGATTTATATAATTTGAAAACGTATTTAACTAAACACTTTGAATAACTTGTAAATAATATCAATAAACGAAAACAGAACTACGCATGCAAAAATAACGCAATCACCAACGCCAGCCAGGTTAGGACTTACACTATAATAACAATATTAAGAAAAAAATAGATTGACATAATATGATTCACCCAATATTGACTGTGTTTACTCAAGTAGTATAAAAAAAAAAACCGTTAAACGCAAAATATATCGATGCGGCGTTTTGGACTCTGCAATAGTGGTCACAGGGGGTCTCTTATCCATCACAAAATGTTATTTGTGTATAAATATAGATATTGTTTAAATATAATAGCGATAATAATAGCTAATGTGTTAATACTTGATGTTCAACACCTACAATAAAAGGCAATTACATATTTCCCGTTGTTCATTCAATGGGAAACAAGGTATTAATGTCATTATTATTTATGAGGTTCAAATGTGTTTTCGCGAATACGTGCTAATGTTTATAATATTTCCATATAATTTTCCACGTTTCGTTTGAAAAATGTTGATTCATTGCCGCTTTTCATTGCTTTATATGAATTAATTTTCTCATGAATTTTCTCAGGTTGAGTGTGGGCAAAACGTTCTTTAAGCAAATATACGAAACCTTTGTAATATTAAAAACACACTTAAGACCTTTTTTACGAGAGCAAGAAACAGTATATATAATGCCGTTTTTCTATGGAACGCTTACAAACAAAACTCGTTTTAAAGGCGTCGTCGTTCAGTGGTTATGAAAGAAAACAAACCTAGCTCTTAAAATACAGGCAAGTACAAGTTGTAAATGGTTTTGGCTCTTAGGCAGTGATAACAAAAACATAGAGGACAAAATAGTTGATTTAATATTAGAGACATGTATCATCGTTATTATAGTATAGATTCGGAAGTGCAACACTATTACAATTTATATATCTTGTAACTGTTATATAGGGAAATGAGGCAGACCTACTACCAGTCTTTCACTGATGGTTTTTATTTAGAGACAAGTTTATCTGTACCCTGCCTAAACGAGACTATTATCTAGTATCTAGCAAGTCTTTCGCGTAGCATAATGCATCTGTTTTCACACATTCAGTATTTTTAAATTTCATTGCATATAATGGCATTATTATATTAAAAATCTATTTTGATTGAAATAATTGACAGCAGCGGGATTTGAATCGGCATTCAGCGTTGTTCTAAGCAATTGAGCTATCGTCTTAAACACTTAGAGTAGCAGCACAGAACACTGATGTTGCATGATCTAGTATAATTTAACTAACTAAAAATACACTTTCGAAATAAATCTAACGACTTGTGTTAAAATAAATCCATGCACAAACATAATTTACTACGTCAAAAGCTTTATTAAAAACCGTTGTGTGTTAAGACGACGGTACGATATCAGGAAAAACTTTTTCACGGAATTTTCAAAATAGAATTTTAATTTATACAATGCATCTAACTATTAAACTACATTGATCGTTAAAAACTCAATAATAGTACCAACGTAAGAACACAAAGATTGATTGAAGGCGAAGAATAAACGTACAAAAATGTTCACGAAACGATTTATGCAAAAATAGATGGCCATCAGCATTGGATTAGTTAGTAAACAAGTAGTTTCCTGCGTTCATCGGTTTACTAATACTCCGAGTATACCATGATATCCTATTCGGTCAATTACATCGATACTACCTAAATATCTACCAGAGTACATAGATTAGATAATGTCAAAGCTCCTACTTACTATGTTGTACTTGTACTACCATATATTACGTTTATAAACAGTACCTATGTTCTTATGTCTATATTTGTGCAATAAAGAGTTATTATTATTACCTATGGATATGATAAAATTTCGATAAAAGCAAGTAATGGATAATTTCATACATAAATTTCATCAACCATTATCGTTTGAAGATGGAACTATTAAACAACGCGATAGAAACTCTTATTAGTTTAAATAAAACACTTGGAACGAGGTATAATAAATAGTTAAACTTATTTGAAAATTATATTGACTACGGCCCGACGTTTCGGATGCTTTTCAGCAGCCTTGGTCTTGGCTGAAGATGTTTGGTATCCCTAATGTTAAAGTAAAGACTTCTACGATAGCGCCATCTATTCCGCCGTAGTTGGTATAAAATACCAACAGTTTTTTTTTATTTTTAGTGATAGAGGATGGGCTTCACCTGATGGTAGGTGATACCCCAGCCTATAGCATCTAAACAAGATGCACTGTTGACCTAATTTGGCTTTCTATATTCGCAAAAAAGTTGCGCCTTTTTCGCAACTTTGCAAGCCTCGTGTCTGTCTGTCCTCTGTCATAATTGTATGATCATATTGTATTCTGTAATTTTCCACCTGTATTTCTCATCCGTGTTTCTGATATTACTTCCACTCACCTAATAACAACGGGGACGAAGATGTCCAGCACTTGCTGTGTAATGAGAAATATAACGAATGGAGAGCCCTGAGGCATCTTGCAACATGTCCTACATGTCGCTATGATAAACGATCTCTCGACACTTTTATTTATAAAGATAGAGAGTTCATTGTTAATGTATTATACGTGTGTATTACACATGTACTTACTTAGTACATATATCTGTTCGGCCGTTTATCATGAAAAACTCTTGTAATTTTAGAACGATATCAAGTTTATTTCTTAATATAGGGTTAAAAGACATAATAAGCTTCATTAAAAATATTTAAATAAAACGTTACACGGAGATTCACCGTGGCCAGGACTGCTGCAGAGCTTTTAAAACGTCGTGCCGTAGTTACATTAAAATATTAATAAGTTGACTAATATATTCCACTTTTTAAACCGTTAAAAATGCCCCTCAATTTGATTCAAAAACTTGGTAAATCGACGATAATAGAAAAAAATCCAAATCTTTTACTTGCTAAATAACAAAAAAGTAACGTCTAATATTTCAGGCCTAGTACCTAACTAAATCTAACCTAAACACTTTACTTTTAATTATCTTAAATTATGATCTCAGAATATAATGAATAAAGTATTGTTAATATTCTGAAATTTTGTAAATAAAACACAATTATTCTAATATTATTTTGGCAAACTAAATGTTACCTATATTTTTTAGTTTTAAGTGTGTGTTAAATGTGCAATGTATTGATAGGTATATTGTAATAAATTAGAGTTAACATCGATCACAATACAATGGTATACCGTATTTCAACCTCCTAATTATAGACCATGCGTTTACTGAACTATATTTCCTTGAAAGCTAAAATGTAAGCTATATTTTGTGTAAGTTGTAAATATACTGATAATAAATACATTATTGATGTTGGTAAAGCTGTTTTTTTAGACTACTCATAAATTAACTATCTCAACACACTGTGTCCCTTTATATGAAGTGCGGCGATACCATTATAAAACTCTTATCGCCACTCAACTACTATTACCCACAGGAGACAAACAACTATGTTTTCTTTTGTTTTTAAATATGACCATGTGTTATCAATGTGCGCCCTTTAGATTATTAAAAAGACTTGGTTCGTATTGTAAAAAGGGAGTTTAAACATCTCGACAATGATTTTGAAGAACTTAAACAAAACATTATTACTAGCTATTGATAACTATTGTTTGAAATTTTAAACAGATATTAATATTTTTTTTTTAATAGTACCGTTGATGATTTAACATACGACATCCATTTGTAATTGCAAAACGTCGAGAATCATATCTGAGTTACGGCGGTCGAACACCACGAAAACCCAAATAGCTTAGCTAAATGATCGTGAAAGCACACAATATATAGCTGACACTACATTTACAAAATATGTCAATCGGGTTTGTAGTACTCAAGAATAAAAAAAAACTCATTATATTTAAATCAAACGTATACTGGCCCACATTGTTTACAAAGCGCTTTAAGTTTTAAAATATCACATTCTGAATGTGCATTCACGTCGGCGCAATTAAGGCGTTGTACGTGAGAAAAATTTTAACTTAACAATATGTTGACTGTTAATAAATATAAATATAGTAAGAGGAAGTTTTGTATTTCAGAATGAAGAATAATAAATACTATCATCGCTTAAGAATTGACTAAAATTAAGTTTTGTTATATAAACTTTAGTCTGTAACATATTTAACGTTGTTTAAATTAAAGTTTAATCTAATCACGAATACTAACAGTTTTTAAATTAATATAATTACTATACGATATATAAAAATGCCTGTATTTACAACTAATGTGTATTATAACCATTCAAAGTAGGTATTTATGTAAAGTGAAGTTTATTTTTGCCCTTCTTGGACAGACACATTTTAATGCTTGTTTCCGGATACATATTTATAGGCAACGACGATGAGGTGTAGGATTCGGTAGCTCAATTGGTAGAGCAACAGCACGGAACGCTGACGATGCCGGTTCAAGTCCTGCCCGGGTCGAAAATGTTTTCAATTTATTTTCGATTTTTTAAATAATACACAAAAATAATTATATACACACAAATTGAAAAACTACTAATTTTGTGTGCTTAGAGGATGAAAGTGACAAGGCTAAGCGGAATTTAGCAGTCGTTGATCAAATCTTGGACCCTGCTAGACTAAATAATAATTTTAAAAGGAGATAGAAGAGATTAAAAGGAGGACAGGTCTACTTGATGGTAGGTGTTATGCCCATAGCATCTAAAAAAGACGCTATCGACTTATATTGGCTTTGGATATTCGGAAACAATAACACAATTAAGCTTCACGGCAGAATATATACCCGAGATGCAAACACAAATCCGTTTGACTCATTGAAGTAATGACAAAGTACAAAATAGTCAATATACGACGCGCAAAGGTCTAGAATTCGTTAAAAATGAGAGAATAAAAAGAACTGTTTATAGAGGGCATCGTAAAAGGTTAACGATATCGTTACCCTGATGGAATTCTGGATTATTTTGTGGTAATACTTCAAGTTTCACGACGCCTTGATGACCTTTCCAACAAAGATGCAGTGGAAAGTTTGTTCTTTTAACACGAGCCAGGGTCTGCGGTTTCTGATGATATGTGTAAATGAAGCCTCTTGCAATAAACTAGATGGCTATCAAATAATAGATATATTAATTGTTCTATTCAGTTGTTTGTTTTTTTGATTTCTTCTAAAGTGATTGTATTATCTAATTAACTTTTTAGCGCGATATATATTAGTTATACTTATTACTAAATTATTTTAACTACGGCCCGGCGTTTTGGATGCTTTGGAGCAGCGGTGGTCACGGGATGAAATATCGCGTTTTAAACAGTTAATACGTTTTATTTGTACAATTCGCGTAAACTACAGATAGTATTTATGATTATATTATTTACTAGTATTATTATTATTTATTGGGTATCCGGAAAACTAATATTTAATTACCTTCTGGTTTAATACAATATTTTTACAAGTTATAATATTTTTGCCGGACTCACTGGTATTGTGGTAGCAATGTTTACTAATCAACAGATCGTGGGTTCGATTTCTAACGGGTCTAATTTGTTTCTAAAATCAATTTATATTTTTTTCTGAAATATGTGGTATTTCCTCTAAAAAATCAGGATATATGGGTCATATGATATCAAAATTCCGTCCAGTTAACGTCCATAACCGTCCATAGATGCGATCGTGTAAATCGGCGTTTCGAATTCAGTCTATTAATTTCGAATTGACCACAGTGAAAATTTTAGTCTATTTGTGAGTTTATCGGTAGTGCATCTTGCTTAAATGTTATAAGGGTGTCAGTGGCGTAACTATACCGTTCGAGGCCCGTGGCAAATTCATCGAATGGGCCCTCCCACTTCCCCAATATATAAAGAAGCTGAACCAACAATTGAGATTTCCTCTGACCGGGGGCCCCTTGGGGCTGGGGCCCGTGGCTTTTTGCCGACTCGCCACCCTATAGTTTACCACTGCACCACTGAAGGGTGTGGTATTTTATCTTTCATGGTATTTAATCCATTGAACGTCATGTTTATCTTTCTCTGACGTAGAAAGTGTAATTCCAGAGGTCTGTCTAGAACAAACATATTTCTTTTTATTTTATAGTTATGCAACTAATTTATTATGGACTGCTTAACGTTCTTTTTATCAAAGTGTTTTACCGGCATTCAAACCCATGACCTTGTCTTCAATATTTAAGTGTTAATTAATGTCGGCTCAGATACTAATGAGTAGACATTTAGAGGCAAAGATGTTCAGAAAATCACGAAAGATGTTTCTTTTACGAGCTGATAAGGAGGGTTTGCCATTACTTAGACCCTTCGGGATAAACGATTTTTGATAATTCTCTTTTAAGTCCTGACACCAAAAAAAACTATATTTAATACTATCTTGAAGGCAGTGTATCAGTTTGAATTAAAATGAAGTTGGAGAAATATTAAAAAAAATATGATGTACAGAATTTTTCCTTTACTGATGGAGCAGAACATGCAAGCATTGGGTTTAACAGGTAACTGGTAACTGGACCTATTTTGGCGTTGGATATTTAGGAATCCACAGGCTGCAACCGAAACGCGATTCTTCGCGGCTTTTTCATCTATTGATGGTGGTTGGTGACCCGGACGGTATTTCTATATTCCTACCATCCATTTAATATCCAGATCGGGAAAACTGTTGTCACGTGAACTTTCCGTTTTCCGTTTCGTGCGTTACGAAAACGGTTCAAGTTACCCAATAAATAGTGTGTACATTATGATATAAGTGCGGTAAGTTGAAAATTACAGCCGAGCCGAGCCATCGGCGAGGGCTATAAGAAAGCAGAGGCTGTAATTTTCAAAGCGCACGTATGTCATACGACGTTTTATAACATATTTACGAGGAAATTAATAAATTCATCACTAGTGCTGTCACATTTTCAAATAAAAACAATACAGCGAAAAGAAAAAGCGCGCGGAATTATTTTTACTTGTCCGCAAATATAAGCGATGCGCGCGCATCACCTTTCTTTTTTTAGACAAAGGTACAAAAACAGCCAGTATTACTAATAAAGTAAATTAATATTTTTATGTTTTTGTTATAGATAAATGGTTGTAATTTATTGTCAAAATTAATTAAATTAAAGAATTAAATGTTTATTTGTTATATTTATTTCCCAAAGTTAATTTTATTCATAAAATATTGACCACTTTCTTGATATAAAACCTCTTTGCTAAAAAAAACACACGTGCCTTTTACATTACATTATCGCACAAGTACGTAATGAGATACATTACGATATTGAAATTGGTGTAATTACAAGCACTTTACGAGCAAATATGTTATAAAATAATTATTGTTCTTGAAATAACCTAAAAAAATATCCGCGACAGTGCATGGTTATAAGCTACAATGGCAGTCGGCTTCGATTAGGAAAGATTAAACATGGATAACAATGTTTTATAAATGATTTTAATATTATATGTTAATTAATATATTTTAGACTATACTTTACGACACATACTTTGCAGCAGCCGTGGTCATGGTCGTGGTCATAAGAATA